GTAAAGGCCGCTGGTGCTTGCGGCGGTGCCTGATGCCCCTCGGGTGTCCTATCGCGTCCCCCTTGCTGTCCTGCCCTTCATTCCGGCCCTACCTCAGCCGCTCAGTCCGGGCACCCTCATGGGTGTCCGTCCTAGAGGTTTGTGTTGGTTTAGGACATGCAGCCTGGAGCTTTTTGGAATGGAGGCCGGAAAATGAGGGTATCTGCGGTCTCCGTGCCGCTGTGGAGGCGTGCAGAGGCTGCTCGGCCCCGGTGGCAGCAGTGCTCCGTGGGTGTCTGTAGTGCCACCGTCCCCAGGCTGGCAGGCAGGGAGCTGGGAGTGCTCGGTGGCGCCGTGAGGAGCGCTGGAACAGCCGCTGTGGGACGCCTCACCCGGCTCCAGCGCCTTCCCCCGTCCCGGTGGCTGTTCCCACACCGTCCCACCTCGTCCTGCTGCCTCCGGGTGTTTTGGTGCCCACGTGGCAAACCTGTTCGGGGAGATGTGCCATGTGAGGAGCAATTGCGTTAGGAATTCAGCCGGGTTTTCAGCAAAAGCAATGCGGCTGCATTGCCTCAGCCTTTGGCATGGACTGTTCTCAGCAGCGATGCTCGCTGAGGTGTGTCCCACGATGGTTGGGCCTGGCTGTTCTCCAGAGCCATCATGAGGGTGTGCACAGGCAAGCCTGAGATTCAGTGAAATCCCAGCTTCTGCTACACTGATTTTTTTTCATGCTGTAAATTACAATCAGAAATGAGTTAAATATTCCTGTTTCTCGTCCCAGCTTTAATCGTTTAATTGGTGCCACCTATGAGGGTATTACAAAATGGATGTTAACAGTTTCATGATTATTTTTTTAAAGGCAACAAAATAAACAGTGTGTTTCATTTGGAAATTAATGCAAAAAGAGGTTTTATGAAGTATGGGGGGTTAGATTTATCAGACTGTTGGAGTTCTGTATCTTTGAGGTGCTGATTTCAATGATCTCTGCAGATACCAGGATTTGTGTAGACAGAGGGAATAGGATTTCCATATTAACACATATCTGGACTGTGTGGAGTCTAAAAGCCTAGCACAAGATACCTGCAAGAAGAGGATGGTCAAGGCAAGTGTATTTTGCTTAAGCTCTTACTGTCTTAATCTCATATATTATTAAAGTGCATAGTGGATTGCTATTCCTGGTACATTAGGGTAGGTCATAATAAATTTGTTGGTTTGTATACTTTTTAAAAAAGTGAACATAGGGAAAACTTACTGGCAGAATTGCAGAGTGACATAACTCAGTGATAATGGCACTATAAAGTTTAATGGAGCTGAGTTTAAAGTATACTGGAGATTTTAAATTTCTGGCTGTTTTCAAGCTGCAGTTTTGAAGATAGTCTCATACTTCTTAGTAAATTATTTTCTTGCTATGCATAATTACCTCTACTGCTAAAAATTCATATATAATCTTCCTCTATACAAAACAACCGGTTTTAATGTTTTTCAAGCAGCAGAGATAAGTTATTCAACTTAGAAGGGCATGCATATACGAGCATCCAAGTTGATGTGCACAGAGGAACAGTAGTTACTCTTAACTGCTGCTTAATTGAGCTTGTCTTCATGCCAGTGTCAGCTCCAATTAGCAGGAAAATACTCATGTTGCAAACCAGCACTGAAGTATTTGGAGACTTACAGCACACATTAGCCAAGCAATTAGCAGCAGCAGCAGTGCTGATTTTGTACCCTGCACTGCTGGCCCGTGTTTAAAGAGCAGTGGCCAACAACAGTGTTCCACTTGTAGGTGGTATAAGGGCAAGGCATAAGGAAAATTGTGCTGTTAACTCAGGAATATCAGCCATTCTCACAGCTCACAGAAAATTGTATGAAAAATAGCAAAGATGATGGGAAAAGGTTTAAAATTGAACTCTTGTTGTGTTGGCAGAAGATGTATAAGTCCCTCTTGAGGGTAGCTATTAAGAGACTATGCTAGATTTCATGTTGGATGGTTGTAATTCCCGTTTGTGGAAGAATGTGATGGAAGACTCAGGATGTAGTGATGACTGTGAGTGGGAGGCAAATGTAGACAGGCTTAGAGGAATTGAGACTATCCCACCTGCTGTGTTCACATCTTCATGGAGTTTGATTCTGAATGGTGGAAAAGTGGCAGAGGTGTTTGGATTCAAGATTTTGACTCTTGAATATTTTTTTCCATTCCTCTTAAGACAATTTGGGTTTATAGACCTTTAGTGCTCTGGGAGCTCTGTGCAGTGCTTTCATGCAAAAATTAGAATATCTCAGGTATCTGAGGATTACATTTTTCATAACTTTCAGAGGTAAAAGGAGCCTGTACAGTTCCTCACTGGTTCCACAACTGAATCTCCCTGACCACAGCTTGGCACAACACTGAAAGGGGCTGTTTCCTCTCTGCTGGGGGAGGAGGGAATTCTGTCTCCAAGCACCAGCTATGCTGTAACTGGGACAACCAAGCTGAGGGCTGAAAGGCAGTGTCAGAGCAGTTCACCAGGCTGTGACAGGCAGAGGGACTGCTAACAAGGGCGCCTGCAGGTAGTACCTGCCCTTACCCTGCTCACTGTGCATCCTGTGCATGGGTGAGGCATGCAGGTGTCTCTCTTTTCCTCTTTCCCATTTCTTTTGTCTTGGGCTTGTTTTTCTTGGCAATTAATGTGTGGTTCTGCTGTAAAACACAGCTGGGGGGCCCAGGGTCCCTGAGGCATTAGAAGAGAACAGGCAGCAGGGAGGAAACTGGTGTTGGAGAAAGTGGGAAGGGCAGGGTTTAAGAAAGTCTTGCTTGAAGAGTATCTGGGGGGAGTTAAAAAGATTGAGGTGAAAAGTGAGCTTGAGAGGAATGGTGAAAAAAAGAGCATGGGGGTTTGGAGGAAGAGAGAGTTTATTGTTGTAAACAAAGAATGTGAGAGCTGATTTTTCTTCTTCCTGGCAACTGGGATAGAATCTGATGGACACCTTGTGTAGTACCTGAAATGAACCTTTCATTCTTTTTCAGTGCATGTAACTAGGATGTTCACACTGAGGAAGAGGACCAAAAAATTCTAAGCAAACAGAAAAGTCAAAACAAAATAAAGCCAACAGAGAGCCTGAGTCTCCTGAGGGTAAGTTCCTTCTGCTGTGACTGTGAAAGATCAATAACTTTGTCAAAACTTCAGATGCAATGAAATTGGCCATTACTGGTGGTTAGTGGTTTGATATTGCAAGAAAGTTTATTAAAAGACACATGTTCTTGTTAAATATTCTTTGGACTTAATCCTTTATAACACGCTTTTTATTAAGGATTTCTTTGTTCAAATATTAGATGTTTGAAATGTTACTTGGCATATAAGTCAGGATTGTTTTAGGATGAACGATGGCTTTTTTAATGACTCTTCTACCTTTAAGAATGAATGAATGGATATCCTAATGAACTGCATCATTTATTCATTTTAAAGTACCCTAAGGCCCAATCCTTTAGTCATTAATCAAGAGGAATTCCTGCTCTCTTTAATGAGTTATGTCTGGCAGTGATAATGTCTTTATTTCTGTGTGTGTGCAGGCATGCTAAGGAATACCAAGGAGATAAATCAAATCAGTCCTTGCTCAAATCTTATTTCTAAATGGACTTTACTTTGCAGAAGGCACAATTTTGTCTGCTAGAAACTAGGTTCCAGCAGCCTTGTTTTTCAGTGATACATCAGAAAGCAATAACCATGTGCTGAAAGTGTGTTAAAAGGATTTAAAAAAAATTATATCCTATTCAAACATAATTGTATTGGGTAGTAACTTCCTCTTCCATGGTGATTTAACTCACTCGTGTTCAGATACAACACACTTCCACCTCCTTTTTCTCAGTGTCACTGTGTGTTCAGGAAATTGTTCTTTGGGAATCTCCTAAACAAGTTTGGTTTAGGAAACTCAGAACAGACTATGGGTGAGGCTGTGGCCTATACTAAGGAAGGTTGCCATCCAAAAGCATCTTAAACACTGTGAGGTTTAATAATTTTCTGACTATATCCTGACAGAACTTTGTATGGCATCCTGGAAGCCATGTCAAAGTATTGTCACCTTGAAGAGGTGAAACATAGTCCTAAAACATGTCAGATATCCTGACATTTGTAGTACAACACTTTGCAGAGTACTTGTGAGCAATTTGTTCTCCCAGCAGCATCCTGGTAATAGCTTCTTCTATAATTGGCTCCTTGTAGACATTAAAATAATCTGGAGGGATTTTTTCCTCTCCCCAGTAATACAGTTCACACAACTTGGACTGTTTCACTGTCAATTTGTCAGTCTGGTAGGATTTAACTTTCTAATGTCCAGAGTTTGTACTGTTACAAACATGTGGCATTTTTAGTATAATTTATTTAACTAATTTTAAGCAGTTTTCAGGGATATAAAAATAAGATTTTTTTTTAAACTGGCATTTACTGGTGTTTAGAAGTTTTATAAAATGACTGCAAAAAATATGTTTTAATGAGGAGCCCACCAGAAGGAATGGCTGTTTCCTTGAAATTCAAAAAGCTGCCATATGTAATTTTCGATGAAAACTGAAGGACTCTGTTCCTTCTTCATTAAACTTTTTTGAAACAGAGTATTTCATAAACATCTTTGAAGTTGCTTTTCACTTCTGTCTAGTCAGGAAACAATTCCACGTGCAGTATGAGTCGTCGAAAGCAGTCAGTGAAATTACCGTTCCAGCGCACACTTGCTTCTGCTTCAGATGAAACTCCAGGCTTGTATGAGGTGTGTGCTCTCTCCCCTGCTGCCAGGGCATGCACACATTCCATGAGCTGGCAAATTCCCATTCTTTGCAGTGGGGTTTGGTGGGTATGGTGGTACAAGGTCAAAGGTTGAACTTGATGGCCTTGGAGATCTTTTCCAGTCTTAATGAACCAATGATTCCAACTATATTCATTGTATCTCTTGTGTTTTATCTCTGAGGGTATTTTGAGACATGCATCCCACTTGCCTGTGAGCTATCTTGGTAAAGTTCAGGCATCAGGACTGATGAAAAGTCCATCAGAAAGTCACCTCAGAAAACATGGAATGAACAGACAAAAGAAACCTATTACAAATCCTTACTGTGATGTGAAAGAAAGACAAGAGCTGAATTTGTTAACTTGTACTATTCTTCAGCTGTTACAAGGACTGAGTGTTCGAAGTAGATAGGTAATTAACAGAGGCCTAAGGAATAGGAATTTTCTAAATCTAAGCAAATATAAGAAGAAAAGAAGCAAGATAGAGATGTGGGGGGAGTAGAAAGAACTAGATAATGTACCTTCCTCTCTTATTTATAAAAAAGTACCTTGATTATGCAAAAAAAACCCCAAACCCAAGTATGACTGAGGTGTTCTGTAAAATTATCCTTATTCATGTGGAGAATGAGTGGATGGTCAAATGCCTGTCTGACCTATGTATTTGCTTTTTGTACTAATTGATGTTTAATCCTGTTCTGGCGCTAAGAAGGCTTTTTAAATTTCTGTGCTTTGTAAAACTTTTCCTTTTGTTTTTCCAATTTC